GAAGACAAATGATATAAACAAGTGTTATAAAAAATTCAACATCCATTGGTAATACCCTCAGTAAACCAAATATCAGATGTGTGGAAGACACATTCCAAATGACCCCCTACCCCCACCCCGTGATCCTCACCTCCTGATGTCATGCACCTGTATAATCTTCTTTGAGTGTTGGCAGGACGTGTGACTTGCTACTAATCAACAGAATGTGGCAAATATGATGGAATGTCACTCCCACAACTAAATTATATTATATAACTCCATCTGGCTAAGAGACTCAAAGCTACCTTGGGGGAGAATTACATGGCAAGGAACTAAATATAGTCTCCAGGTCCCATGCGTGGTCTCCAGCTAACAGCCAGCAAAAAGTGCAGCCTGGTGAAACTTTGAAGCAGGGGACCCAGATAAGCCATGCCCCAAATTCCTGACCCACAGACATTGAGAAATAAATAATATGTATTGTTTTAAGCTGCTACATTTGTGGTGATTTGTTATAGAGCATTAGAAAATTAATAAAAGATTTTTGGTGCTTAGAATTAGAGTTCTGCTGTAACTAATTTTTAAAAATATGTGGTGGCTTTGGTAGCACTCAGTAGTCAGTCACAGACTGGAGAATATTAAAAAACATGAAAAAGCATACGTTTTCTTGAAAAGACTATTAGAAGAAATCTAAACTTTGAGGGCTCTGCTAGTGAGGGCTCAAAGGGAAGTGAATGGCAGGTTACTGGAATTTTTTTCAATCTGATAAACAGCATATATTTAAAAAACAAGTAAAAATTACACATAACGGTGAAACTCTAAATGCTTTCTCTCTAAGGTTGGGAACAAGGCAATGATGCCTGCTTTCACCTCTGATGTTCAACATGTTAAGGAGGTCTTAGCCAAGACCATTAGGTAAGAAAACAAACAAAGAAATGGCATTTAGATAAAAAATGATGAAATAAAACTGTCTTATTCACAGGTAACATGATATTTTACATAGAAAATTTCCCCAAAATCTACACATGCAATTTAATGGAATTACTAAGTGAGTTTAGTAAGATTGTAGAAGATCAGATAAATATTGTAAATCAATTGTATTTGCACATGCTGGCAGTAAGCAATTGGAATAATAAAAAATCATTTGCAATAGCACAAAAACCATAAAACACTTAGAATAAAATGAACAAAATTTGTATGCTGAAATCTATAAAATGTTGATAAAATTTAAAATACCTAAATAAGTATGGAGCTAAAGTATGCTCAGGGATGAGAATATTCAATATTTTTGAGATGTTAAATTCTACCCAGTTTTATCTATTGTTTTAATGCAATCCCTATCTTAATTCCAGCAGACTTGTATATTTTTTGTATAAATTAGCAAGCTAATTATAAAATTTACATGAAGAGCAAAACATACTAGCCCAAACAATTTTGATAAAGAACAAAGTTGAAGGACTCATATTCCCTGATTTCATGACTTACTATTATATAAATCTACAGTAATTAAGACAGTAGAGAATTGGTGTAAAAACAAATGTACAGATTAACAAAAATAAAAAATTCAGAAATAAACTCAAATATATGTCATCAATTGTTTTACAACAACGTATAAAAAAATCAACTTTAAATGGATCATATACATAACTGTAAAACCTAAACTATAAGAGCTTTCAGAGGAAGGCACAGGGGAAATCACTATTGCTATAAATTTAGCAAAGATCTCTTAGATAAGAAAGAACAGCACAAACCATAAAAAGTTATTAAATGGAAATTCATTAAATTCAAAACCTTCTCTTTGAAAGGTGCTACTTAGAAAATAAAGAGATTGGTCTGGGAGTGGTGGCTCATGCCTGTAATACCAGCACTTTGGGAGGCTGAGGTGGGTGGGTCACCTGAGGTTGGGAGTTTGAGATCAGACTGACCAACATGGAGAAACCCCATCTCTACTAAAAATGCAAAATTAGCCAGCCATGGTAGTGCATGCCTGTAATCCCATGTACTAGGGAGGCTGAGGCAGGAGAATTGCTTGAACCCGGTAGGCAAGGTTGTGGTGAGTCGAGATTGCACCACTGTGCTCCAGTCTGGGCAACAAGAGTGAGACTCTGTCTCAAAAAAAGAAAAAAAAATTAAGAAAGAAAGAAAGAGAAAATAAAGAGATCAGCCATAGAATAAGAGCAGATCTTGGCTTACAAATATCTTCTAAAGGTCCAGAATATAAACATAATTCTTATAATTCAATTATAAAAAGGCAAGCCAATAAAAATGAACAAAAAATTTGAATTTTTACCAAAGAAGCAATACAGATTATAAATAAGTACATGAAAATATGCTAATTAGACATTAGAAATATAAATAAAAACCACACTGAAATGCCATTTCTACTACACTGCCTAAAATTAAAAATAATAAAAAACTGACAGAACCAAATTCTGGCAAAGATGAGGAACAATTGAACTCTGAACAACTGAACTGGTAGAAACACACAATTGAATAGCTTTGGGAAAGTGGTTTGGAAGCTTCTTATCTGGTTAAACATACATATACGTACTAGTCAGAAAACTACTCCCAGGGGTTCACCCAATAGAAATGAAAATATATGCTAACACAAACACTTGTGTATAGTTTATACTAGCTTTATTTATAACAGCCAAAAACTGGAAACAACACAAATGCCTATCAACTGATAAATAGATACACAAACAATGTTATATCTATACAATGGAATACTACCTGGCAATAAAAGGGAATGATGTATTGATTATTGAAAAATTACAAATTAATTTCAAAATCATTATGTTAAGTAAAAGAAGTCAGACACAAAAATATGATATCATTTATCTGTCATTTTGAAAAAGACAAAACAATAAGGGTAGAAATCATCAGTGGATGACTGGGCTAAGGGAAATTTTTGAGGTGATGCAATAGTCTATATCTTGACTATGGAGATGGCCACATGACTATATACATTTGTTAAAATTCATTGAACCATATGCCTAAATGGAGTTAATTTTATTTTTTTGAGACAGGGTTTCACTCTGTGGCTCAGGCTGGAGTGCAGGGGCATGATCATGGCTCACTATGGCCTTGTCATTCCAGGCTAAAGTAACTCTCCCACCTTAGTCTCTCAAGTAGCTGGGACTACAGGTGCACGCCACCACACTAGGCTAATCTTTTGCAATTTTCGTAGAGACAGGGTTTCACTATGTTGATAGGGTCAGTCTTGAACTCATGCAATCCTCCTGCCTTGGTCTCCCAAAGTGTTGGGTTTACAGGTGTAAGAAACCGTGCCAGAGTGAATTTTATTGTATGTAGATAACATCTTTAAAAATCTGACTTCAAAATTTGACAAACAATTTATATTTACTTTTCATAATTTCTATGAATTTCAAAACTGCTTAATGTTTACAGTGTTTTGCATTTTTCCTGAAATAAGTCATATTTGTTTATCTTTTAAACAGTTAAACATATGAAGGAATTAGACATATCCAGTAATGGCCATAGACTTGAAATTTCTCAAAGATGTAATTTATCATCTGGCTTCTACTCCCAAAGACCTACCATGATTCCTAAATAAGATGAGCTATTAGAATTAAATACTTAGGAAAAAAAGCAATTTATCAACACTGGATTGTTTTGAATCAAGTCAAGGACATGGTTGTAATCCTAGTGGGAGAAATTAGTAACATCTATTTCATTGAGATGTCAAGATTGCATTTTAGTTTAAGAGTTTTGGGAAAAGCTTTTTAGGGTTTTGTTTTCTCTTTTTGTACTTCCCTATTTACTTTTCAGGGAGAAAAACTGTAATTTTTAAGCACTTTTTATTGCTTGATGTTTTACATTTCATACAAAAGGCCTCAGATTATTTCACAAACCATTCACTGTAAAGATCTCCATCTTAACTTCCACCTCATTCTTTTACATTCTATTCCACTCCTCATCTCATGTAGAGACTCTTCCCATCATCCGTAGAGAACCACTTTCACTACTCCCTCTCCTCAACTCTGTTGGTATAAAATTTCCCATCAATTTCCCTTTGATAAATTTATTTATGTCTTCTTCTAAAAACACTCCATCCATTAAATGTCTTTCCAATGGGCTTCAGTTTCCCCCAGCCTCCTACACTTCATCAAACAAAAAATTGAGGAATTTTTCTCAAATCCTACTGTCAGCTTTGTATAATGAAAATGCCAGTCTTACTCTGAAGCTCATTATTTGCCATCCAATACCACTGATTTGTTTCAACCTCTTCTAAATATTGCAACTGTCAGTAGCCTCTCTAGATTTTATTTTTACTTACATTATTAAGCGACTTTAACATTCAGGTTCATGACTTCTCCAATCAATTTATTTTACTGCTTCCTGACGTACTTGATTCCACGGACTTATGTCACTATACCACAGATGCAATTTACCAACATGGCCACTTGCCTGGTATCATTTTTCCATGGCATTTCTTAATTAACAGATCTTGGACTACAAATACCTATTTTCTGATCACAGCATCTTTATCATCCATGTCTTCCATTCTCTTTTCCTCCTAGGGTTTTCTCTTTACTCTGCTATAGTCTCTGGTATACAAGTACTTTGTATTTCTGGTCATTACTTTATTTCCTTGAACTACATGATAGGTTATTTTTATGTACTTATCAATATCTTAAATTTGCACTATCTTGAACTTCTGGCAGGTCCTTGATGCTAATTTTTCACCATGACCATAACTAATAACTCTTTTCTTAGTTTCAACTCTTATCTATGGAATGTTACCTGAGAGCTGTGGAAAATGGTGACAAAGTTTGCCTCAAAATAATACCATCTTTTGCAAATTGGGTATTCATTGCTACTCAGCAATATTTTAAATCATCTTTTGTCAAACTATTCTGATTAATTTTTTCCATCATTCTATTAAGTGCTATGTCAATGATATATTTAAATTTAAAGTATTATGTGTATTTCATCTATTTTGGTACATTATTATACAATGGAAACATAAATACAAATAAAATTTAATCACGCATACTCACTTAGAAATGGGATTGACACTGGCTTCAATAATTGTTAAACACTTACAGCACTTTATGTTTTCTGGAAATTCTTGTACACCTAAAATGTGAAAAAAGCAAAAGTACATGAAAATGTTCCAACAAACATTCTTTAAACTATAGTTCTAATATTTAGATACTTATTAAAACTATGAGTCAGTACATAGTGTAAACACTATTTAGGATAACCATTTAAGTAGAAATAAAAACTTAATAACATATCAATATTATTAATCATATATACATAATTAAAAAAATATATATTTTATTGCGTTTTAGGTTTTGGGGATACATGTGAAGAACATGCAAAATTGTTGCACAGGTCCATAAATGGCAAAATGGTTTGCTGCCTTCCTCTCCATCACCTATATCTGACGTTACTCCCCATGTTATCCCTCCCCAACTCCCCACCCCCCACTGTCCCTCCCCTAGTTCCCCCCCACAGACCTCAGTGTGTGATGCTCCCCTCCCCAACAATGAGAACACATATACATAATTTTTTTTTTTCCTTGAGATGGGGTTTCACTCTTGTTACCCAGGCTGGAGTGCAATGGCGTGATCTTGGCTCAACGCAACCTCTGCCTCCTGGGTTCAGGCAATTCTCCTGCCTCAGCCTCCTGAGTAGCTGGGATTACAGGCACGTGCCACCATGCCCAGCTAATGTTTTGTATTTTTAGTAGAGACGGGGTTTCACCATGTTGACCAGGATGGTCTCGATCTCTTGACCTTGTGATCCACCCGTCTCGGCCTCCCAAAGTGCTGGGATTACAGGCGTGAGCCACCGCGCCTGGCCCCATAATTTTTAATAAAGGTTGAATGTTAAATAATATTTTATGATAAGAGTTTAAAATTGGATATAAAATTGAGGACAATTGTATATATGGCCTAAAAATCTTTGATCTTTAGTAACCTAAAGAAATAAAAATAGCTTAAATTAAGTTATAGTGCCACTACTGAGAGAAGGGAGAACAAGTAGATATTAAAAAAAACAAGATAAAATCTTTACTTCCAATAATCATTTTATAAGGTTAGGAAAGCTGAACACATACTTAAGAACACATTCCAAAACTGAAAGATGCTCCCCCTGAAAGTAATATGGGGCTCTGGTAAATTTTATACAATTCATTTTTGTTGGCTGTACAGAGTATAGCTCTGCATCTGCCTGAAAGTATGAAGAGTCAAGCAGCTTTCCTTGGGTCCTCCCTGGAGTCTCTGAGGTAGCCAGCCTGGCTATTTGCCCTTGGAGAATTGCTCATCTGTTGTCACAGCTGTGCTATTGGCTATGTGACAAAAAAAAAAAAAAAAAAAAAAAAAGAAAAACAAAACAAAACAAAACAAAACAAACAAAAAAACACAAACACACACACAAAGTTTTCTATGAAACTGAAAATACAGAAGCTGCAAACCTAATCCATAAATGTGAAGGTCAGAGGAGTAAAAGATGTGGGGGACATTTCAACTAATTGATGTAAATGAATTAATGTAGCAGACCCTAAAGAAGTTAGAAGGGGAAGAAGCTATACCAAGCTGTTACTATATGATATGCCTGCAGTACCACTTTCTCTAAATTTTTGAAACTATTATCAAGGATGTGAAAATTTCCAAAAAGAACTGGCCTTTCCTAGTACTTCACATCTGACAGAAGGATAAGGAACACTTTGTGGCAGTATATAATTGACCTTTTTGATGATGGATACTCAAGAAACAAAATATTCCACCTTTCCAGATTCCATTCATCTAGACTACCATGTCCACAAGACTTTAGAGCCCTTGAAGCAGCAGGAAGGTAGTAAAATCCAGGACAGGTCACTTATCCACTGCCAAATGGGGGTCCAAAGGGAGGTTTGTGACATTTCTCACCCCATTTATCTGTATTTAAAATTTTGCCAGAAATTATGCAGTTCTAAAATTATTACTGAACTATTTTGACTTCTAAATAAGAGCCCCCAAAAGTTTTGGAGCTCCATTATGTATGAATTTAATGAGAAAGCCTGTTTCTTTCTTTCTCTCTCTCTTTCCTTTCTTTCTTTCTTTTTTTTTTTTTTTTTGAAGGCCATAATACCCAGAACTTTTATTTAAGTAGTCACTAAAAAAAGGGCGGCCAGGTTAATAATCTAACTTATGAATCATCCTTAACATTTTCCCATAAAATTCTTTACTTTAAATATCTTGAAAAGTAGTATAAACTTCTCAGTTTTTCTGTTTAGCTTTTTCTGTTCACTCTCCAATCTGGACTCATTGCATGCTGGCATGCATAATGCCTTATCTCCACAGGTTCCTGCTTTAAAATGGTATATACTTAAATTATGTGTAAAGCAGGACATGGAAGCAGAAGTAAATTAAAATATAATTTTAAGGAAAAGATGATGTCTCTTTATCTTCTACTGAAAATGGAATTGCCTACTGTGGTAAAAATGGTGCTATATTATTTGTTTAAAAATTTGTATTATGTTGTTTACAGTTTAAATTTAAAATAATTCAGAGCACAGTCTGTTGGTTTAAGATAGAATCCTAGCTATATACCCTCTGGCTGGGTAGTCCTAGGCAAGTCCTTCAAAATCCCAATGCCTTAGCTTCCCACTCTGAAAAATAGTGATTATATGAATGGTTTTATCATAGAGTTGTAATGAGGATTAAAAGAGATTATATAGAAAAGCAATTGGCACAAAGTGCTGTAATAATGTTATCTATAATTATTAGAAATAAAAATCAGAGGACGTAAGTCAAAAAAAGAATGAAAAACATATCAAAATGATCTGGATTCAGGTATAAAAGTGTAAAATTTGTCTACCTCAGAGAATATAGGAAAAAGGTAAGAATTAGTGTACTGAAAGAATATAATATATACTGTGCAAATATATATATCTTATTAATCTATGTGTATGTGTGTGAATATATACACACACTCTTAAAGCTGCTGTTCTTTGAGACTTAAAAGTGCCAGACATTGTGCCAAGGTTACAGACATAAAAAATGGGAGAAAAAAGATTTCATGACTTTTTTCTTAAATTGATATTCTAACTTAGAAGAATGACTGAAAGAAAAACTCTATAGAAAAATCAAATGATAAATGTGAAGAAGTCTTCCAGAAAATGTGGTAATATCAGGCAAAAAAGCAGTAAAGATAAATTTAGAATAGTTGAGACAGTATCCGAGTAATAGAAGTTCTAAGGAGAGTAAACTGAGAACACACAGGATAGAAAATACTAAAGGAACAATTCAAGAATATTTCAATAATTTCTAAAAATGAACAAGATTATTTCAGATTAAATGGCAAAGACTTGGAACCAACCCAAATGCCCATCAATGATAGACTGAATGAAGAGAAGTTGGCACATATACACCATGGAATACTATGAAGCAATAAAAATAGATGAGTTTATGCCCTTTGCAGGGACATGGATGAAGCTGGAAACCATCATTCTCAGCAAACTAACACAAGAACAGAAAACCAAACACTGCATGTTCTCATCCCTAAGTGGGTGAACAATGAGAATGCATGGACACAGGGAGGGGAACATCACACACGGGGGCCTGTTGAGGGGTGGGGAAGCTAGGGGAAGGATAGCAGGGGGTGGGGGAGATTGGGAAGGGATAACATTAGAAGAAATACCTAATGTAGATGATGGGGGGATGGATGTAGAAAACCACCATGGCATGTGCATACCTATGTAACAATCCTGCACGATCTGCACCCCAGAACTTAAAGTATAATAAAATAATAAAAATTAAAAAAGAAAAGCTCACTCATTCAATGAGTATTGAGAATTAAGAGAGGAGAGAAAAATCAGGTTTCATACAAAGGATCAAAATCTAGATGACATTTGACTTCTCAAAAAATATTTAGAATGAGAAAATTACATAGAAATATATCCAACCTCTGAAGAAAGATGGTTTTCAACTAAAATCCTATGAACCATCAAAGTATTATCCCCCAACTATAAAAATGAGGGTGAAATAAGGACATTTTCAGAGTGACATAAGCAAGATGGCAGAATAGGAGTTTTCTAACATCTCACAGTTTACTGATTTTGGCAAGCATCTGCAGATGAGAATATTTTTGTGGGAGTTTGGGAGTCCAGCTGAGAAATTCTAGCATACCATTAGAGCAGAACTTATGAGAGTAAATTCACAGAAGACAGTAAAAAGGATAATTTCATTTTACCCATTTCACTTCTCCCTCAAGGCGGCAGAGCTCAATGCCAGGAGAAACTCCTTCAGCTTACAATTGCCCCCACAGGGGAAAGTAAAAATGTAGTGAGTGAGGCTTTTCCAATTGTGTGAGACATTGTTCAAGAGGCCTACTTCTTTCTTGCCCCATTTAGAGTACTGAGGGAATCAATATGGCTGAGTGGCTGGGAGAGGCTAGGAGCTGAGAGGAGAGGTAGGGACTCTCAGCAACCAAAGTTTAAAATTAAACAAAGAGCTGTATATTCTACTATTCTCCAACAGAAAGTTTGCCCATGGGCTGTTCAGTATGCCTCACCTGTGGACCACCATAACTGACCCAAAGGTTCTCCCAACACATTGTGTTTCTCAGCCTCCCATCTATAACTGTAGCTAGCTCCTTTCATGTGCTTGGCTACAACACAAACTTGAGCATTTCAGAGTGTTGCCTAAAAAAACAAGTGAGAGACTCCCAGCACCCAGCCTGGCTTTGTGGGATTGAGAGAGGACAAACAATTTTAAGAAATTCTGCCCAAGAGGAAACAAAATAGGTGGAGCAGGTACATCCATAGCAAAAGTCTGACAGAGACTCAGAATCCCTCATCTGGCTGACTGGTGAGGTGTTTCTCTCCTGAAGCAAGACAGTAAAGACTGAAGAAGGTGACAGAATCTTCAAATGCAAAGACAAGAACACAAGACTTCAAGGAATACAAACAAAACAAAGAAATTTGTCACCACCAAAACAACACACTTTTCTAGTAACCAATCTGAAAGAGGTGGAGCTCCATTAATTGCCTGACAGAAACATCAAAATAACTATTTTAAGGAAGCTGAGTAAGCTACAAGAGGGCCCAGATGGACAACTCAATAAAATCAGAAAATTTATGAATATAA